TGAGATCTTGTAATAATCTCCAATTACTAGATTTTTTCTTAATTACAAAGATGGGTGTGTTCCAAAGGCTGAGCATAGGCTCTAAATGACCAGCTTGAAGCTGTTCTTCAACTAACATATGAGCTATTTTAAATTTTCCCATGTTAAGGGCCATTGAGTAACTCATTAATTTTCTCTGTTTTTTTTTGGGGGGGGGTCGGAAAAAAAGGTCAGGGCCCCTACCAAAAATTTTGGCTGAGTGCATTAATTAATCTCTGTCGAGGAGGTTGGATCATAAATAAGTATTCGTCCTGTAAGTTTCTCTCAGTTTCCCTAGGAGTAGATCCTTGATTAAATTCCTCAAATCACCTGATAGAATTTGGAGTTAGTAATAATAATCCCAAGTTGCTTAGAATACCTGTACCTCATAGGCTTACTGGTAATGTGTCCAAAACATGAGGCTTAAAGATTCCAGTGTTACCATCTCTATCTTCCCAGTGAAAATAGATACTGGGCACTCTGGGCAGGTTCAGAGATCTGCCCTATGCCTTCTAAATTGGCTGGCGCGGTATGTAAAGGCCAGTTTTGGGGCCAAAATCGGCGAGATAAAACAGATTTATCTGTCCCAGTATCTGTGATTCCTCGAAATTTTTTAAGATTGATTTTAAGTTCCAGTAGGGGGCACTCCTGCCAGATTAATTGAGCCCAATATACTCAGTCCGGGGCACCTGGAAGTTGAGGTTTTAAGTGGGCTGTCCGCGGAACAACAGGGTAAAAGTACTAAATGTCTTTAGTAGAGAGCCGAATAGCATATTCTGATTTTACAGTGACTGTTAGCTCATCTCTAAAATCTGGATCAACAACTCCTGGTATTACTTGGATTCCCTCTTTAAAACTAATTTGTGCCAAAATTAGGCCTAAAGTACCTGGGGGTAATGGCCCACGGATTCCAGTAGGAACTTGCTGTGGTCCCATTTGAGGTGTTAAATCTATTACCATGGCTGGCCGTACTGTCTGGGTGGAGCTGACTGGTAATAATGACCATCCGCCATGGTGGGTTGTGATGATGTCAAAGCCTGCAACTCTAGCTCTTCCTCTGCACCGATTATTTGGTGGTCCTGGGGTAGGCCTATATTCCATTTTTTGGCTCTGAAGAAGGCGGAAGTGAAGTCAGAAATGGAGGCACGTCACTGCCATATCTGTTCCCATCCCCCCTAGCCATGAAGCTTTTTGTTCTGTAATGCCACTGGCGTGAACCAGGAAAGGTTTCTGCCCTGTTGTGTGCCAAATGCCCAGTCCTACCACAATTAAAACACTGCCCTCGGGAATGGCGTCTCTGGGATTAGAGCTTAAGTACCTGCTTTAAAGTCAAGGTGAGTGTAAAACCTTGTAATTGTGTGGGACCAACATCTGCACAAAGGCGAATGAATTCAGAGACTGTCCCTTTTTTTTTCAATGAGGTGGGAGGATGTCTTGACAAACTTTATTGGCGTTTTCAAATGCTAGCTGTTTAACTATGAATTCAGAAGCGTTTGAATCTCTGATTGACCTGTTAGCTGCCTGGTATAGGCACGCTACAAAATTGGAGAATTGTTCTTCCAGGCCCTGTTTTATCTGATTGAAAGCTAAACTCGTTTGATCTTGGGAAGAAATTTAAAGCCAAGCCTTTTTGGCACATTCAGTGATCTGGTCACAAATGGCTAAATCATAATTTAACTGTCTCTCTAGGTCCGTTATCATTTCTAAGGGAGCTTCAAGATTTTGTCTCTTGTTTCTTTGAGCCTGTTTGGTACAATAATCAGTCCAGTGGGACCACCAGAGGAGATAATCACCCCCAGAAAGGCAAGCATTTGCCATTGAAATTCAATCATTTGGGAGTAAAGGCTCCTGGCATAACGAATTGAGTAGGCTTTGTAAAAATGGCAAGTTAAGGCCACAGGTACCACAAGCATTTTTGAGTTTTTTAAGAGTCTTAAAGGGAACTACAGCGTGCATGTGGACATGCGGTTTTGTTCGTTAATCTGTTCAAAGACTGGAAAAAGCTGAAAACCTGTAATGTCTTCCCCCACTTCCTGTGCTCTTCTAAGGCCACATTGTAGTGGCGTAAGCATGGCAACCACCAGGTCAGAGTAATGACAGAACCTCATTCTCCTGGAGGAGAGCATCTGAATTTGGATGGCGGATGCTGGCCCAGCTAAATGTAATTTAGCAAAGCCCTCCCCAGGTCTTCCTTACCTGTAGACTGAGTCCCCTCAGACTGTGACTCTTTTTCGTCTGTATATTCCTGTCTGTCTTGGTTCTCTTCATTTTGAATTTGCCTCCCAGAAATCCGATGGGGGAAAAATTGTGCTCTATATGTGTAATAAGAATTGCAATGCATTCTGCTGTCTTGTATTTAAAAAAATAAAATCAGTTTAAAAAATTTGATCTGGGCTAGTCTCTTCTCTGGAACACGCCCCTTGGCACTCATCTAAAGCTGCTGACTCTTGTCTGGCTCAGCGGAGACTGAGCTTTTGATTTTAGATCTTACCCTGATGCAGCTTGTCTGCGACTGGAGAGTTGCAGGCTAAGCGAAATTTGACTCTGTCCTCAGTCCCGGTAGGAAAAGACAGAACCACTTCAAAGCAGCCTTGGGCTGTTTCTCCTACTCCAGACTCTCTGAAGCCATTTCAACAAGTCTTGGGGACCACTGGTCCTGATCTAGGTCATCAAAGAGACACGTTTCTAATGCAGTCTACCTTTTGAACACTCTCTATTGTACTTTTAGACAGTTGGCAGAGAGACACCCTTTATATAGTTTTCTACCTAGTTTCTCCCAAGTACATAAATCCGGTACGACTTGTTGACTGTTTTCAGGAACTGGACTAGCTAGGTCCTTTTGATTTGCTTTCCTCTCCCATTGGTTATTGTGTCCAGAATTGTTAAATACATTTCTTTATCTGAAGTCATGGAACTGCCCATGATAATTCTTTAATGTCCTTGGCTCTAAAACTGTCTGCTTCCTCTGTGACCCTTCAAAAATTCAAGGTAAATTAAATTTCTATAGTGCGCTCTCTCTCAGTCATCCTGGAAATTCACCACCGAGCGGTCCCTCATTCTGGTGCCATCTTCTGCCCCCGACCTGCATGGGCAGCTGAACTTAAGGTCGCTCATGTGAATTTCCTGGGACACCAAATAAAACACACACACTTTACCTTTAAATCAAGCTTCAGGAAGGCTCCTCCGCTCTCTACCTCAAGTTCCCCAAATGGGAGAGCGAGGAAAGTCACGAGAGGCTGGCAAGAGAGAGAGGGCACGTTCGGAAGTGAGCTTTTATTGGGGGGACCCTCATTCTTAGAAAGTTCCATCCAAAAAAGGTCAGGAGGGGCAGGGTCACAAGAACAGGTGAGTGTAATTCTACCCAAGGGGCTGCAGGACGGCACACCTACACCTGAAGGCACATCCTCTACCTCTAAGATGGGGACATGTCCAGGTCACTACAAAAGTAGATGGACAGAGCCTCTCCACCCACGGGAAGGAGAATGCCAGTCATTGAGCGAGACAGCTTCCCACGCCCACTGCTTGAATCTCAGCCCAGGAGCAACAAGGAATATAGCCTCCTCTAGCCTGACATCTTTTATTTCAGATCATGGTGATTTTTAATGCAGGTTGGAAATATTTTAAAGAGGATTTTTCTATCTAGGTTGATCGGGATATTTTTCTTTAGTTTTAGTGTTCTTATCTGATTTTTCACTTGGGGATTCTTGAAGGTCTCAGGTGAAGCTTGGATTAGGTAGCTCTGGCTGGCCAAGGTGACAACATTAGTTGTGGAACACTAATGGAATGTGGCATTGTGTCCATGCTGTGGGGAGTTTGGTTTTAAGAGCCTATCACCATTTGCATGTGACTGCAGAAGCTTGAAACAGACTGGGGGTATGAGGGAAGAGCTTGTCCTAGAGGGGTCGTACCAACTACAGGAAATCAGAGAAAGGACAGATAAACATAGGCTGTCCTGCTAATAGTTGAGAGGTTGTTTACCATCTAGGGGTGTTGGGTTCATTATCTTTATTCACCAAAGAATTGAAGAACAGGACACACAGATGGCAAGCAAGCAGTAGGTTTATTGCAAAAGTGATGGTAACAGAGAGAGGAGGGCTCCGGAGCCTGGGGTACAGTGGGGGAGTTTTGACTTGTTCTTTTTATGGTCTCTGGAATATCCTCTTCTTTTTGTGGAGGAGGGTTACTAGGGATTGAACTCAGGGGCATTTGACCACTGAGCCACATCCCCAGCCCTATTTTATATTTGATTTAGAGACATGGTCTCATTGGGTTGCTAAACACCTTGCTTTTGCTGAGGCTGGCTTTGAATTCACAATCCTTCTGCCTCAGCTTCCTGAGCCACTGGGATTACAGGTGTGCACCACTGCTCCCAGCTTCTCTCTCTTCTTCTCCCCTATCCAAGCTCTCCTTGTTATTATTTGTTGGTTCCCCCATGTCCATATATCTGTTTTAGTTTTTCTGTTGGATCTGCTGCTTAAGCGCACAAGTATAGAAGTGTCTGTCTGGGTCCCCCACTTTCATCATTTGGGAAGTTGACCTCCTGGGAAGACCCTCTGCATGCTCCTTTAGTCTGGCCCTACCCCTGACTTTCTCACTCTCCATCTTGCCCTGGCTGCCTGTGCCTTTCTACATCTCCCTCAAGGTTGCCAGGACATAACTAGAAAATGACTTCTGGCTCCACTTAATTTCTAAGAGCTCTAGAACACTTAAGACAAAAAATGAGCAGAATGTTTCATTTGTATATCTACATGACAAAGTGCCAAGATGCCATATGGAGGGCTAGGATAGAAACAAAGATGACAGCATGGACAGAAAAATATCTTTAGAGGAAGTTGTTTTCAATCCTCTTGTGGACTAGAACATTCTCTTTGTCACAAATTCTAGGCAATGGAATGTTGGAACATTTGGGAATGTATGGAGCTAGTCATGTTGAATATTCTGTTGAATAAACCAATGATTTTCATCACCATTTTTTTTTTCAGGTGTGAGCCCTCGTTTATTACTTGTTTACAAGAACTGTACTTGGAATTGCACATTTGTGTATGCTGCTGAACAGCCTCCGGAAACTCCAAGAAGAGTGCTCCCTAATCAATTCTATTTTGCTAATTGTTGTGGTGGTATGTCTTGCAACTCTGGAGGACCTACCAATGTAGAAAGAGATTTTTTACCTCCACAGATAATTGAGGAGGACTTTGTAGCAGAGTCTGCATATTTGGGGAAACCAAAATTTGTCCTGAGCTTTGCTTCCATCATCGTCAGTAATACACTGACTTGAGATGGCCTCTTGGAGTCCATTCATCTTCCCCTGTAGCTCAGAATGCTGCTGTTCTCTCTTGGAGACGCTGATGTGTCAGGCCTCCCGTCGGACCCTTCATGCCTTGTTGTAAGAGCAAAATAAAGGAAAATGCTGTTGGTTGGAAACGTGCCTGAATGCTGGTTTCCCTGCATGTCCTCAGGTTCTGCAGTGAGGCTGCTGCTCTTTTCTGCCTCCCTGCAAATTCAGGAATTCCTCTGTGTTTCATCAGGTGAGCTGCTTTTGTTCCTCGAGGCACTTCTTATGCTCCGTAACTTTAGTGAGATGTAATCACACACCATGCAACCCACCAATTCTGTGTAGAATTGAGGAATGTTTTGTACATTCACAGATTCACCAGTCATCACCACAGTCCAGTTTGGCACACTTATGTGACCTCAAAAATAAACCCTGAAGCTGGGTGCAGTGGCACTCACCTGTAATCCCAGTAATTCGGAAGGCTGAGGCAGGAGGACTGCAAGTTAAAAGCTAGCCTCAGCAACGGGGAGGCACTTTAACAACTCACTGAGACTCTGTCTCTAAATAAAATACAAAATAGGACTGGGGATGTGCCTCAGTGGTCGAGTGCTCCTGAGTTCAATCCCTGGTTTCTCCTCCCCCGCCAAAAAATAAATAAACCCCAGACCCCATTACCCACCCACCCAGGCCACCACTGCTGCCTGTTTTCTCTCTATGGATTTCCAATCCTGACATGTGCTAGGAATGGAGTTATACGATGTGTGATTTTTTTGTCACTGACCTCTTCTCCTTAGCATAATGTTTTCAGGGTTCACCCATGTAGATGTGTTAGTTCTTTATTTTTATGCCCAAATCATGTTTAATTGGATGAATGCCACACATATTTTGTGAATTCCTTCATCAGCTGATGGACACTGGAGTTTTCGAACCTCTGAAAAGTGTAACGCTGCCATTAACAGCTGTGGTGGCTTCTGGATAGGCCTTGTTACCTTTTTGAATGTAGCCTTTATGTTGGGCGTGAAGTGTCATCTCCTGGTTTCAATTTGCATTTCTCACATCACTAATGATATTGAGCATCTTTTCAGGTGCTTACTGTTCATTGCCTGTCCTCAGGAGAGGAATTCTGTGTAAACCCTTTGCCATTTAACCATGTGATTCTCTTACACCTGCATTGTAGGAGTAGTTTCTCCATCCATCATAGTGATCCCTCACCAGGTATGTAATTTGCAAAGACTGCACCATTGTAGGTTGTCTTTTCAACTTACTGAATGTCCTCTGAAGCCCATATGCTTTCAAATTTTGTGAAGTGTATGTCATCTATTTTTTTCTGTTGCTGCTCATATTCTTTGCCAAATGCAAGGTCATGAAGGATCACCTCTGTTTCCTTTTAAGGCCTTCGCAGTGCCCACTCATAGTTAGGGTTTTGATCTATCATGAGTTAATTTTCATATATGCCTGAAGTAAGGTTCCCATGGCATTCTTTTCCATGTAGTTTTACAGTTGTTGTAATGGTATTTGTTGAAATCCTATTCTATTCCCATTGCCCCTATGTATGGTCTCGACACCTTTGTTCAAAATTCATTGTCTGGAGACAAACAGTGGTTCCCTCTGGACTTCTGGTTCTGTCTGCACACCAGTCTCACAGCATCTTGATTATCATTGCCTTGTATGAAGTTTTGAAATCAGGAAATGTGAGTCTTCTTGCTTTGTTCTTTTTCAAGATTATGTTGGCAGTTAGGGGTCCCTTGAAATTCCATCTGCATTCTAGAACCAGCTTGCTGATTTCTAAAAAATCCTCCTGAGGTTCAGACAGGGGTTGTGTTGAAACTGCAGAAAGACTAAAGCACTTTCCAGGAGGTGATACTGAGCCTTCTGACCTGTGAACACAGATTCGAAAGCTTCAATTTGCTTCAACAAGGAGAGCAAATTCCATAGTTCGCGTGGACCAAGTTTTGAACTTCCTTTGTTAAATTATTCCTTAATATTTGAGTCTCCTTGGTACTCTCATCAAAGGGAAGTGTGTTCTTGCTTTTATTTGAGACCCCTCACTGCAGGCGTAGAGGGGTATAAATGTCTGGGGATGTACCCTGAAATCTTGCTGAGCACCTTCTTCAGATAGGCCCCTTCTCAGTGTTTTCATAGCAAACTCCTGTGTACAGGACCAGGTGGTCTGTGAATAGAGACAGTGTTACTTCTTTTTGCTTCTGAATGACTGTTGCTGCTTTTTCTTGCCTGCTTGCCCTGGCTGGAAGCCCTGGTGCACTGTGGAATAACAGAGATGGGAGCAGGTGCCCATGCTCCTGATCTTGGGAGGAAGGAAGCCAGTCTTTCACCACAAAGGGTGAGGTTGGCTATGGACTTTGAGGTGCTTTATCTGGTTGAAGAGGTTCCCATCTATTTGTAGCATGAGATGGCCTTAGATTCATCCCATTCTGTATCTGCTTCTATTGAGATGGTCATGTGATTTTTGGTTTTTCATCTCCTGATAGCATAGATTATAATAATTGAATATTTGGTGTTAAACCAACTGTTTATTCCTGAGGTAAATCCCACTTGCCCCTGGCATGTAATTCCTTTGATATATGGGATTCCATTTGCTGGAGTGGTCTTGTGTTTTATGGGAGGAAGCCAATAGAGAAGGCCAGACCTTGTAGCGTGGCAGGTAGCACAGCAGGGAAAAGGCACGGGGCCAGGGGAGGACCTCCCCATCCTGGCCTGCTGTGGAGACAGAGCCTCCTGGAGGAAAGTCTTGTAGCTGCTGCCCTTGAGGAGGAGCATGCATTCCCCGCACTCCTCTCCAGTCAGTCTGTCACTGTCCTCCACAGCCTGACAGCACCTGTGCCCTGCCTCCTGGTTGCTGCCTTGCTTTATCAAGTGTCCTCCTTTGCCATTGACACACCCCCTCTCATCGACGCTTGGGCTGCCCCTACGAGGACTCCATAATTTCTTGCCCTCCTCACTTGGCACTGCCTTCTTTCCTAGCATGGCTGCAGACACCACAGCCTACCTGGCAGCGTTCCACCTTCCTTCAGTCTGTGATACTGCACGGCCTGTCTGGCCTCTGCAGCCTCCAGCAGAGTTAAAGAGAAAGCTGCAGTTGAGGGTCACCTGCAGCAAAATCACTGGTGGGGGCTGGATAAAATGGTTAAAATGCCAGATTTCCAGGATCCCCACTCTGGTCCTTCTGTTGTGTCTCCTCTGGGTTGAGCCTGGTCTTGTGCATTTTTACCAACTCCCCCATTCAATAATTCTTCCCCCACAGCTTCAGTAGCACTGGGGTGAAAGGTGGCCCACGACAGTGCATTAAGGGCTGAGCATCTGTTATATGCTTCCTGGCAGGGAGCCATGCACCTGCACTGGTGGAGGATAGGGGAAGGGGAAGGAGCTACTGGGAGGAGTTGCCAGGGCAGTGCTAGACCTGGGTGGAGCCTGGAGCAACAAAGGTTCAGAGGAGTAAAGGTGCCCTCTGTCCCTGCACAGGCCCCGCCACTTCCTGAGGCAGCCAGATCTAGTGAGGAGGGGTGTAGGCCACAGGCAGCAGCTGGTATCTGAACTGACAGCTGTTTCTGGTAGTGTGGAATCACACATTTCCTGCTTCCAGAGACACTGAGGGTTACCCAAGTCACCATCTGGGAGTCGGGCCAAGCCAAGTTCATGGTTCAGTGAGTCAGAGGTTGGAGAGGCACAAGGTGCTCCCCATGGGTCCAGAGTTCTTGCAGAGTGCTCTAAGGATGGCATGAAACAGCAGCACCCAAAAGTACATGACCCTGCAGCCCAGGGACATAATGTGATTGTACCCACACAGGGAACTGGAGCCATCAAGGCAAAGGCAGGTTCACAAAGAGCCATGGCCCTCTTCTATGGTGGTCCTGCTCACTGTTGGGTGGCTCTGACCACAGAACCTGCTGAAGACTTCCCCCAGGTCCTTGTGGGTCAGGGGCTTGACAAAAACTACTGAATCCTGGCCCTCCCCTGCTGACACCCACAGGGCCTTCCCCGTTGGCTCCAGAACCTGCACCTGGGCTCCACCTGGACAGCCCACCCAGCCCACACCACTCCCCAGTGCTGCAGGGCCTGCTCTCCCGACCTTCCTTGGGAAGCCTCCTCCCTCCAGACTCCCCTGGTGGCTGCCTGCAGATCCTGCTGAAATTCGCCTCCCCAGCAGACTCACCCCCTCAGCCCCAGAGGTCCTGTCTACAGGGATAAGCCAAGAACCAGGCAGGCATCAGATTCCCACCGTGTGTGCACTCCATGACAGGGGCTCTGCTGGGCATCCTAGATCCTGTGTGGTTCTGGGAGTGCCTCCTCTTGGGTCCACGAAGCCCTGAGTTCACACAGCTGGCTGGGCCTCAGAATAAAGCAGAACCCCTTGCTCCAGGTCAACCTCGGGCACAGGGGCAGTTCAGTCCCTGCCTGCACCTGGTTGGGGTTCTGGGGGCAGGTCCGTCCTGCATGTGTGTGCCCAGAGCCCCACTCCGCAGGGCAGGCGGGAGCCACTGCTGAAGTCCTCTGCCCTGGCCGAGCTGGTCCCAGGGAGCTGGAGGAAAGACGAGAGGCAGTGCTGATGCAGGTGGGCTGTTCTCCTGGGGACTGTTGTTGGAATCCACATGCAGCCATGTTTGTCGAGGCCTAACCCAAAGAGAACAGGAGAGGAGAGAGGCAGAGAGGAAGGCATTGTCTTAGTCAGCTTTCCTGCTGCTGTGACGAAAGGACCCGACCAGAACAACCACAGGGGGGAAAAGTTTAACTGGGGGCTCGTAGTTTAGAGGTCTCACTCCATAGACGGCAGACTCCATTCCTTGGGCTCATGACAGAAGAGCGTGGCAGAGGGAAGCAGCTCACGATGATCAGGAGGCGCAGAGAGGTCTCCTCTTGCCAGGTACAAATACATACCCCAAGCCACGCCCCAGTACCCACCTCCAGCCACACCCTGACACTTCAATTTCCACTGAGTGAATCCCCAAAAGAGGGTTAATTCACGGGTTGGGTTAAGGCTGTCACAACCCAATCTTCTCCTCTGAACCCTCTTGCATTGTCTCACACGTGAGCTTTTGGGGGGACCCCCACATCCAAACCACAGCAGGAATGGAGGAAGAAAAGCAAGCTGGGAAGTTGTGCAGAGGGGTTCTCCTGCTCA